AGACCTGACCGTTGGAAGGAATTTAAGGCTAAAACTTTCCTTGTTTGGAAGTCAACAGCCAAAACAGCGATGTAGGGATTTTAGACATCGCTGTTGGCATGACCGTTGCTTCCCATTTTTCAAACGCAAGCCTAGAACAGCGATGTCCAAGCCTAGGACAGCGCTGTCTAGGTGAATTTCAACAGATCCAAATCTCATCAAATCCCACAAATTGTGCCAATCACCCCTTAAATACTTTGGTCCGTTGGAGCCTATTTTTCTACTATAAAATGGGGTGTTTGGATCTGTTTTACACAATCACATTACTTCACAACTCCTACTCTTTCATTGCAAATCATTCTTCAATTATTCATAGCTTTTGAGAGCCATTTTTTGTGAAGCTTGTGTTGTGTTCTTGAGCGTTCTTAGTTTACTCATTATCCACTCTAAAAGAGAGTATTGTTCTTGAGTGTTTTTAGTGTTCTTAAACACTTGACAAGAGAAGGTATTTCTCTTGTTGTTCGAAGGAAGGGCTGTTTCCTTCGAAGGTTCGTTGAGGTTCGTGTGACTCGAATTCTCAAGTTGTACGGGTTTGTTAAGCACCGTTAAGCTTAACGAGGTAGTAGTGTAGCTCGAGAGAGTCTCTCGGGAGGCTGGATTAGCCACAAGTTGTGGTGAACCAGGGTAAAATCAGTGTGCCTCTTACTCTTTTCTTTACTTCTCATTTATTCATTTTTTATTCCTGCGATTTTTGATCAAACGCTATTCACCCACTCTCTAGCGTTAGTCTCTTATTCTAACAGACAGCGTTGTTGGTCACCCCAACATCGCTGTTGGTCTGGTTTACCCAAACCCATGGTTGGTTTAGTCATGCCGTTAGCCGATGTCAAAACTTTAAGATCTCCAAAATAAAAACCAAGTATTGAAAACATTTGTTTAATGCATTTTTCTAAGAAATAAAGTGAAACATCTTGAAAAACACGTCATTTAGAAAAAAACCACGGCTAGAAAGTCTACGCCGTTTCGCATGGTTTTTACTAAACGACCAAAAACGAGGGGTGGTTTTTGAAGCGTTTTTGTTGGAGAACTATTTAAATATGCCCAGAAGTAAAAACCAATCATAAAATTTTGAAAACCACTTGGTTAGTTCAGACGCCAATAACCAACGCGGATAACCGAATGCCGAATGCTGGTTTCTGAAAACCGAACGCCGGATGGTTTGGTTTTTGGTTTGTGCTAACACCAAGTGTTTCAGGCTTGTTTAAAAACTTATGAAAAACATTTTTGATTATGCAAAAGAATATTTTAATGAGATGAGCCTAGAGAGCCAAGTTTGGAAGTTTATGCCTGTAACACCCTAATCCGTCCAGGTCTGCAGCCCCTTTCGGACTAAAGTATTAACTTGGTAATCGTAAAAATTTAAAACATTTCAAACACTTTTATTTATCATAATAATATTTTTCATAATATAAATAGTACGGATTATTCAACAATATTGCAGAAGCGAATTTAATTTTGACATATCATAAATCATTTCAAACTTGTCACATCCATCCCGACAATCTCGCCCCATCTGCCGCCAGGATCACATTGTGCTTTCTGCTTACCTGCGTGTAGCAAATAAAACACACTACACGCTCAGCGGTAAAGCTGAGTAAGCATATCTAATGCGTCGAACATCCATATAAACTGAATCTAAATTCATAATCAAATCATTTGATATCATGCACACAATGTTCATTTCAGACATTCACAGTTTTGGTATTATTCAGTTCATATCAACACATTTTATTCAATTCAGATATTAATCCAATAGTGCTCTTAAATTATTCTTAATCTAAGGCTAGATCATAACAACGCTCTTAGCTATTCTTAGTCTAAGGCCAGATCATAACAACGCTCTTAGCTATTCTTAGTCTAAGGCCAGATCATAATAATGCTCTTAACTATTCTTAGTCTAAGGCCAAATCATAATAATGCTCTTAGCTATTCTTAGTCTAAGGCCAGATCATAATTTCATTCTCAGACGCTTAAACTATAATTAGTTTAAGGCAAACATTTCTCAGACGCCTAAACTATAATTAGTTTAAGGCAACAGTTCTCTGACGCTTAAACTTTAATTAGTTTAAGGCAAACATTTCTCAGACGCTTAAACTATAATTAGTTTAAGGCAACCAATACTCAGACGCTTAAACTATAATTAGTTTAAGGCAACAATAAGACAATAATTAATCACCATTGAGTCGAAGTATTTCCAAACGAGTGACTAGCTTAGTCTACGAATCCCGTTTATACATTTTTATCTAACTCATCGAATATTCATGTTTCACAAATCCACACTAATATGAGATCTATTCTAGAGGTCTTCTAGATAGCCTTAACATCAATATTCTAAATGTGTATACCTTAGAGTTCTTCTAGATACCCTTAACACTACAAATCATTTCATAATTATAAATGTATTCATTTTATTCATGATTCAATCACAAATACTTATTTTAATCAGTAGGTTCAATACTCATAATCATCCATAATATTCATTTATCATAATCATTAATTAACACAACAATTGATAATAAATAGCGGCCTAGCTTCGAGTGTTAACACCCGAACTTACCGTCATGCAACACATAACATTTTTAGTTGTTAAAAACATCATTTTTATTATGGTAAATCATTTTTATAATGGTCATAATCCATTGGTATCAAAAATAGGATTTTAGAGCTCAAAAATAGCAATTTCGGACAAATTTT